GGTGGGTGGGTGGGTGGTGGGTGGGCGGGTGGGAGGGCGGGCGGGCGGGCGGGTGGGTGGGACTGTTTGGCAAAACGACCAAGCCACAATACAAAACCAAATCCGTGAAGAACCACGGTCAACCATGCCTCCTCTTCCTTTTTCTCTTCCCTTTCCTCCTCTCGCTTTGCCTTCTCCTCCTCCTCCTTTTTCTTCTCCTCCTCTTCCTTCTTCAATTGCTTGGCCTTTTCCTGAAACCTCTGGTTCCGAGACACGAACCGCTTGGAAGAGCATCAGGAAAGTTAGGGCAGCCACTCGTGCTCCAGAGCGGACTTCTTGTCCCCGTACCTGAGAGGACAAGATTGGACATGAATGCAACGCCCCATTCGCACGTTTCTGCTTGAACGCTGAAAAGCTGCTCTTCTTTGAGCTTCTGCACAATCTCCGGACCGACTTCTTCCAGTTTCTTCTGGGTGGATTTCGACTTCTCCTGCCAAGATGCAAAACTTCAGCAAGGCCGGACAAGGGGACAGTCTCGAACGTCCTCCAGCTTTTGAAGCACTTGCTGCAGCTTCTCCTTCAGAGTCTGCATGTCGACATCGCTAATGCAGACCGCACAGCAGAATATGTGTCTTCGTCCTTCGCTTTGACTTCCTTCTTCTGCATCTTCTCAATCTTCTTCGTAAGCCTGGGGAACACGGACGTTCGGTAGCTCAATCGTGCAATTGCCCTGCTGAGGGCGAAGCTTGTCCACTGCCTTCTTCTCCTTGCGAGAAAACCTTGGCTACCAAGAAGGATTAGGCACGGCTGACATTGGACAGAAGAGGCCAAATCATGCTCTTCGATAGTCAGCAGACCGGATGAACATGTCTCAACAATGCCTGGCAACTTGTCCTGCACGGCTTCCAGCTTCTTTTGCGTCTTGTTTTCAATTGCATCCTCGTCGTCTTGCAGGCCTTCCTGTGTTACAGCCCATCTATGTGGCCAAGCGGGCGCACTCTTGGCCGTTGCACGTCAGCCTAGTGCAAGCCAGAAAAACCAAACACGTCGTAGACTGCCAAGGTTTCGATGCAACTGATCAACGAGCGGTGATGCAGAACGCAGAGAACGTTCGGGGAGAACTGGAAGGCCGGGAGAGATAGAGTGAATAACAAGTGGGCAAAGAAAGAGATGTGACCTGAGATGGGGGAGGGAGACGGGGCAAACAATCCGTCTGACGTATTTGTGGATATGGTTCTGGACAAGCTTCGTGAAGATCCTAAAGACATCGGCAAATGGACCAAGCACTGCTTCTGCATTGCAAGCTTGAGGCCCGCAAATTCACGCATGGTGGATGGGGATCGGAGAGCAGTCGTTGGTCAAACGCGGTCAACTATGTGAGTCCAATGAGGGCTCTGCTTGGAAGCCCCTCTGCAAGTCTACGTTGCTGGCGTCAAGCTCATGGCAAATCAGATCAATACTACGTAGTGTTTGCGTGGTCTAAGGATTCTGAGGTAGTTATGACGGGTCTCGAGGTCAAGGTGTACTGTGGTCACATATACCTATCATGTGGGCTGGTATACGGGACCAAACGCCGACAAATCACGTACGGCACAACGCGGAAACAGTTCTGCCGCACTCTTGGTCCACAACTGTACAACTGTCACTGGGATAATATACTATGATATATACTGCAGAAAAATCCCATAATATTTAGGCGCGTTCGTGATGGACCCTCACCCTCACGAAAGAAATCCCATAATATACGATGATATACTGTAGTATACTGTAGTAATATCCCATAATATACGATGTTTCATGTACTCTATAACATTCCACACAATTTTACTTGAGATGTCCTTCAGCTGCTCGAGGCTCTCTCTGAGCTTCTCCTCCTCCTCGGCAGAGAGGACCTGTCTCCGTGTCTCTGTGTCTCTGACGTCAAGGACTCAGCTGCGAGTACGATAATGTTGCTGGGTTTTAGGGACTTTAGGGTAGACTGCAGGGGCCTTCCACCAGTCGCCAGACCTGGCAAGCATCTGGACTTCTTCTGACCAATCCCCCTTTCAAGCAAATAAGCTCCGGGGCCGTTGCTTGTTGACAGGGGGCGGCTCACTTGCATCAGCTGCAGACGCAAGCGAAGTGGCCTGCAACATGCAACACAACTTGCCTTGAGCATGTCATGACTACGAGTATGTCATGTGCCAATCTCTTGCTAAGTTGAACTTCTACTTTGCGTCGTGGCATACTGTGGCCTGCGGCTGAGTCTGGGCGCGTTCTGCTTCATGTCGGAATCTCAGCTCGGACAAAGGACGGCTTCGTCTCGGAGTGGACGAGAAACCTTGGCCAACTAGGACCCGAGCTTGTCGAGCACATTCACTTTTTCGTCATCATACCTTAGAGGACAACAGATCACTATCACCCATAAGTCGCGTCCTTTCGCAGGGCACGTCTGCTTGCAGGCACGCCTCTCCTTCTTCAGCTTGCTGAGACGTTCTTGTTCGGAATGCTCGAAGCGAGCCTGCTCCTTGTCGGCCGCATCCTCTGCCCAAACGGGATGCTGCAACTTAGCCAAAGCCCCATGTGGGCGAAGCCTTTTAGTCAGGCAAGGTGTCATCTGGGCATGCGCACTTCCTGTGTGTGTGTGTGTGTGTGAAGTTGGAAACTGAAATTGCGCGCACACACACACAACACTCCTGTGTCAAGCCCCGGCGTTGGTGGGTAAACGGTAAATGGGAAGTCGCAGCATCGCCCGTATTCTGGAAAACCGCCCTGCAATGAGCATTCTGAGCGTGGTCCGGCTTGGGCAGTGGGACAGAATGGCTGGCTGTTGGTACCTTCGACCGATTTGAGTTGAACTTATGATAAGCCCGAGTGGGCACGCTAGCTTGTGAATGTCCGAGTTTTGTCGTGGCTTCGGCACTTGAGGAGGCATGAGCGTACGCATGCAGAGGGTTGCCAAGCCGTGTTTGCCGTCTTTGTTCTGTTTTTCATCAACCACACTTCAGGCCCGTAAAGGTCTCTCTCTCCCTGTTTCCGCCAACAGCTGCAACGAAAAAGTCCTTCAGCTTCTCCAACTTATGCTGCAATGTCTCCTGCAGTGCCGTGCGCTACCAGCAAGTTTCGATGGTAGGGCCATGCTGGGCCGGCACACAACGAAGCCAGTGACTGAATGCAGCTTCCCCGAGCGCCCAGGTGGCTCCTCTGCACCTGCCTGCTTCTGCATGCTGCGCTCTTCTGATCTACGGAACCTCGGCATGTTGCTGCCCTCGGCTCACAACGGGGGCTAGGGCTAGTCCAGCCAAGGTGCTTCTCCTCAGCTTTGGACTCTTCAGCGATGTGCCTCTGGTACGACTTGCATGATGCTGCAGGTAACGCGCCCCCCCTTCTCTATTCCCACAGCGTTTATTGACACCCGTCATCACAAGAGACTTCACGCTGTGGCCACAACCTGCACGATCTCATGCACAACTGCTTGCGGCCAAGGCGTCGCATCCTTCAGACCACGAAGCTCATTGGTCCCACTCTCCGAAATGACGTGCAAGTCGTGCTCCATCTTGTTCTGGGCAATCTTCCAGCTTTCAACTTAGTGCAGACCTGGACTGATCATTGATTTCTCAGACTGCAGCCCGAGAATGACCCGGCCTTCAGGTCAGCCAGGCGTTGGTGCATCTCCTCTTTCAAGGGAGGAGGCAAGTCTTCCTGCAAGTTGGACCTCGCCGAATTCGCCGGGAGTCACAGTCCCTTCGTCGGCCACATGGCTGTCAAGCCAAGATACTGGTACTCATCACCTTCCACCGCTGCATAGGCACCTGAGGTAAAAAACATCGTCACATCATTTCGTGAGTCTTCTCGCGACCGACAAGACTGGTGGGGGCGCCTGACTGGGCAAGGCCCTGGAAGCTGCACAGCAGCAGCGCGAAGAGTTGCACGTGGACGCCAGCCTAAAAACTGCAGCCGAAAACTCTCACTTTGCAGTCGAACACGAAGGCCTGACATGGTTCTGATGCGACAGCAACCGAGGCAACCACCATGAACGTCTCCAGTCTCCAGATCGAGATTTGACGATATCCACTCACGTGCTCTTGGTCACAAATGCTGCAGCGAGCGCGATCACCAGCAATGCGCCTACTGTAGTCGAATCTAGGCGCGACACATGCAGGTGGGAACATAGGGCAGTCTACTTTGCCACACCAAGAAGCAAAACGCAAACACGGTGCCTTCATCCCATCCAGCCTTTGTCGTCGAGTGAGAAGGGAGGCTGCACTTGGAGCATCTCGAAGCTGGAGCTCTTGTACTTGTGCAGTGTCCGACAACTTCCGAAAACCTCCTTTATTCGAAAGTCAACTTTCCGGGGAGCATCGGGAACCAAAGCACATGGACCTAAAGCTCTGCCAAGCAACCGGGGCCGTTTGGGCGCAGGGCACTCTGGCAGGAGACCTTGGTAAACCAGAGTCAACGAGTGTCCTTCAGCTTGGTTGGCGAAGTGCGTCTCTCAGCGTCCGACTATGTACAAAGGTGCATCCGGCACTACATTCTGCGGAAGGCTCCTGCATGGTTTGTGCCCGTATGCCGCACCCTTAGTCTCCAGTGCCCACACTCTGCATGGTCACTGTATGCTACGGCAACCGTGTCCTCGATGACACTCTTGCAAGAGTCTTGGCGTTTTGTGGAGGCATTCGGCTTGTCTTCTGCGCCTGTGGGGACATGCTCGGTGATGCATCATCAAGCTTCAAGCGGATTCTCGGCTGATCGGCGCAACTGCAACTTCGTTGAAACCCTCATTGATGCCTTCAGTCCTGCAGTCCTTCTCTGCTGCATTGTCGGTGGGGAAGCCTGCTACCAGTGGCACGTTGGTACTACCGGAGAACAGAGGTGGTTGTCAAACTCATTTTGGGACAAGGTCTGGTCTTCATGATGCATCTCTTGCATTGTGGCACTAGCAAGACGAGGCGAAGCTACATAACATACTCCATTTGAGAAAATTGCTACAGGCAGCGGTGAAAGGCCGAACCGACCCTTCCTGAAGCTACTAGACCCCTTTGAACGCTCCGGTTAAGGCGAAGGCAAAGAAGTCGCGACCAAAAGCCGTTACACCCTTGAACGCGCAGGATAATGGGAA